CATTTGTAAAATTACACTAAGCGCAAAAAATGCTTGCTTGTCGCCACAAAAAAAAATTTAGCAAAAATCAAGGATGAAGCGGAGTTGCTTTATTGCTGTGGGGAGCACTGGAGCACATTCAGCACAAAGCATTCAAATCAAATATGTATGTATGCATGTATTTACATTGTAGGCGCACATACAAGTACTCTATACATTGCACAGATATAAACAATACTTAGGCCCCAACAACAAACGAATATGAACTCAAAACATACAAAGACAAAGCAGTTTTGCTAAAAGTGGCTGGCAAGATGAAACATGAACGTACATGTCGACGAGCAGCGAAGGCGGCAACAATAAAAACAGCTAGAACAACAAAAAAGAAATAGCATCAACAATTCCATTCAATATGAGTGCAACAAATTCATTCATAAAGTAAAATGAAAGACGAAACTCTCTGAGCCAAAACAATGTAGCAGCCACGGCGGCAAACAATAACAATAACAGGCAGCTGATGACCCAGCCAAATAGACGACTCATCCGGGATGACTCCTGTATGAATCGCATAGGAGCAAGCGAGGAATATCACTTGATCGCTTTATTTGGAATGAACTGTTCGCTTTTTGTTCGAGCATGTCCTATGAGGAAACAAATTCTAGGTACCTTTTAGTACCCGAACGTGTATGAAAAGGGAGTAGTCACTTTTAAAAAATAAAAATAAAAATTTGCGCCAACTGAAATTCGAACCGGGGATCTCAGGTTTGCTGAGTCGGGGACCAATTGATCCACAACTAAACTTGCTAGGGATTAGCCGGCTACTAATTGATCACCACTAATATCCGTATGAGATTAGTTGCGACAAATCAATACCCAAATGTACCCGAAGGAGACTAATCCTGGAGTACTCTTTTTAAAGATAGGGCGTAAATTTTTTTTGCAGGGCAATATCTGAGTATTTATATTCATATATGTACATCCATACGAGGGGAGGCTGAAAAGTTTTGAACCTAAGCTATCAAAATTGCTGATAGAAATGTGTAAAAATTTTATTTTCCTACATAATCTCTTTCTACTTCAATGCACTTAATTTCTTCTTCACTCGAAAATCTTCGTCCTCGGTGGATTTTCTTCAGATTGGAGAAGAGAAATTAATCACTTGGAGCCAGGTCTGAACTGTCCAGTCCAGTCTCTATCAGGGCACACCTTGCAACTCGGGCAGTGTACACGGGTGCATTGTCTTGCAGAAAGAGAACCCTACTTTCACTCGGAGACAGAATTGTCCATTGTGAGTGCCCTCTTGTGAGTGAGTGTCAGGAGGAGACACGTACCTATATCGAAAGAGTATATTTAAGTCATTATTTTACTGGACTCATTCCCTTTAATATTGCTATGTCCAGGAACCCAGCATAGAGTTGAAACGGCTCAGTGACGTCGGCGTGGTGCGACATCTCCATACAATTCCCGAATTCACTATCCTATTGCCTTCAGAGCTGCCTGGCTGTAACTCTACTACAAAGTAGAAGACTAGCCGCCCTCGCTATATCGTAGATCTCCGCTTGGAAGACACTGCAGTCGTTCGGTAGGCGAAAGGACCGGTTGATCTGTAGATCCTTCGAGTACACACCGGCTCCACTTTTTAACCGGCAGTGTAGATGGGTATACCTACCTCTGCTAATGGGTGTATTCGTTTTGAAGTCCCAAACAGGCGTAATGTAATCAGTGCTGACTTCTATGTCAGCTTTAATTCCATTTAGCCGACCCCTTTTCATTTCATTCAATATTACTGTTTGTCTAACGGAGTAAGCATTTTCGGCGCTGATCGCGCTCACACCTTTTTCGTCTGCAAATGACTATGCAAAATGTCGCCGATTCTTTCTTTTCATTATCTGCCACAACTTGATTCGCCGAACTACTAGAGCAAGTTTTTAAAATTTTTCAATATGTATTTTCTTCAGTAACGGCAGTGTTTGGATGCTCTGACCTGAGACGTCTTCCAGCGACTCCGCGCCATGCTTGCATTCTCGGCACCAACGTTTCATGGTAGCAAATGAAGGTCCAGCCTCTCCATACACTATGGACATCTCTTCAAATATTTCCGTCGGCGATTTGTTCTGCTTTGTAAGGAATTTGATGACAGTTATTTACTGAAACCGTTATGGTATTAACGACATGAAGTTCGGTTTTTATTACTACCAAGGATATTAGCAACTAGTGGCACGCAGTGTCCTTCTAAAGCTACTTAGGCTCAAAACTTTTTAGCCTTCCCTCGTAAGTAAGTATGTGCCATGCACGGCCGCTCATACTAAGTTGCATTTACATATACATATGTACATATGTATGTATGGATCTATGTGTTAATGTCATAATAAAAACAAACTCATAATTCCATTTATAGTTCTAATAAAAGTGGATTTTTTTCGTGGGATGCCATTTCTTTTTTCAATATTTAGTAACTATAGAAAAATTGTGTAAAGTTAAACGGAATATTATTGGTTAAGACAGCCTATGAACTTATCGCATGTCATAGTTGTGGGCAGAACTTTACTATATAGCCGTTCGTTCTGTGGTCGGTGGGCAATAGGGGCGAGAGTGCATTACCTCACGCATCTCTCATCAGGAACCGCCATTTACAAAACTGCAAACTCGAAATTTTTAGGTCTCTCAATATTTGCATTATTATGTAGTCTTCAAAATCCATATACCTTATACAGTGAAGCAATATTACAAGAAATTTTGGAGACAATTAGTTGAGTCAAAAGTGGGTTACCTCCCAACTTTTCATTCGTAGTGATTTGTCGTTAGAAATTAATGCGAGATCTCCTCAGATAAGGCGAAACAAATTTTTCTCACGGCCTACGGAATTCGCTTTCTGACTAAAAAGTATACCTGCACAGTCAATCGAGAATGATTGTTTAAATAGCTTCGCGTTGAATCCGCCAATACTTAGAATGTTTGATTTTGTCATGGTAAATACATCGCTTATCTATTTAAAGTGGAAAAAAGTAATTTGTATGAATATTGGTTAATTAAACTAAAACCATTGTTGTTCTATTTGGCTCTGTTGCGACCATAGCTTTCAACTAGAGATGCAGCTACGGCAATAGGGGCCCCGCTCTACTTGCATCCATAAAACTTCGGAACTTTGTACCATACCCTGATTAGCCAATTCACATCAGTCATGAAGTTTTCTGCAAAATCACTGAGCCCTGGAACAGAGGTCAGCCTGATTTGGAAGCATTTAAAAGCTGCAGGGAAAGAGGTTAGGCATTCCCCTACCAGTTTCGATCGCACCATAAACGATCTCTGAGCTCTGAATGTCGCTTGGGTTCAAAGCAAATATTTACTCTTCTAATCGATATTAGACTTGTACATACGTGACCAATCAACTGCCTCCTTTATGGCAGCCACCGCTGCTTTAAATATGCAGCATAAAACAGGAGGTCCGAGCCTTCTGATAGGACACCCCTTTTCCAACTCCATCATTCAACGTAGATAAGTTCATGAACATTCATATCCAACACATAAAGGGATATCCCATCAGAACCTTTTTTGATACGCACCGATTCGTTTCCTCAGATATTAAGTCGAAATTTCCAAAGATTACCGAATGCTCATAACCTGGGTTAAATGAGAAACCACTGCTTCTTAGCCTGATAGGACAGCGGAGATTGGCGCTAAGCATGCCGTTAACGGCTAGAGTATGTTTGATTCGATGTGCCCCACCAACCGAATTAGTTAGCAAAGAACTTGACATATCAAGTTCGCGAGTACAAAATCGTGTTATTGCAAAACTTCCAAAAAGAAACTTCCCATTTTGAGTTCACTTCTAAACTCGGTCAGCTCAATCACTCAAGTCGAATTCACAACAAAACGATGTTAAACGCCCACATTGTCTACGCTTATTGGCAGTTATTCAATCATATGCATCATCACACACACAGTAGAAAGAACGTATGGGTAAATCCATGTCAAATCGAAAAAGCGACCGTTTTTTGATTTAGGTGATTAGAATTTTTTTTAATACATATTATATAACGAAGATCTACCAAAGGAAAAATTATTAAAAAAAATAATTCAAAGTCATGTAAGATTCTAAATTTTCAAGTTTAGTTTTCAAATATGTATTTCAAAACCTATTATGCATAGTTGCAATAATAATTCTGGTCTCGTTTTAAAGGTGAGAGGTGAGGTAAAGGTTTGGGCTATATAAAAATCGCTTTTAAAAAAAATTAAAAAATTAAAAAATTTGAAAATTAAACATCGTAAACAAAGAAACCTGTAAAAATTTGTTTGCTAATTTTTATTAGACAATACCTTCAACTTTTAAAGATGTTGAAATTTTCAAAAAGGTATGGTTTTTTAATATATGGATTTTTGAACTATACATTTTGTTTTTGCAAACTCCAAATAAAATTATGTTAAACAATTTTGAACTAATTTAAATTTATTATGGTTTAAATTTTGCAAATGTTTTTTTTTCAAATTTCAAAGCTTTACATCTTTCAAAAAAAAACTGAAAACCCTCAGGACTTTCTACGATCAGTGAGAATATTATATATAAAAAATTATGGCAAAAATGAATACAAAAAAAAAAAATTAATTTAAAAAAAGCGTGCTATATTTAAAAAAATACGCATGTGAAAGAGCACCAACCCAACTCATATTAACATCTTTAAAAAACTGGAAAACTTCAATATGTTCTACGATCAGTGAGAGGTGTCGTATATTGTTTTTTTTTAATTTTGTATTTTTTTTTTTAAATATATATATTTTTTTACAGGCCCAAAAATCCCGCTTTAAAACCAGAACCATTTTTGTAACTTAACTAGTCTTTGAGTTATTCAAAAAAATAAAAATTTGCGAAATCCCGAAAAATGTGAAATTGTGAGCTTTCGAATAAATTTTTTCTTTTCATTATATGATAAAAGAAAAGTTCTGACCAAAATGCATGCCAATCAAAAATGGTCGATTTGACATGGATTTATCCGGAGTATGTATGTATGTATGTATGTACTTACCAATTTTTTCGGAATGTTGCACAGCCATATACGTAAGTATGCGTGAGTAGTTAGATTTATGTATCAATCTTGTTGGCAATCTTGTTGTTGACGTTGAACTTTATTTAATATTTTTAATACTGATTTTAATTTCTTTTAACCTTTTATTGTTTTTGATTCTTTATAAAAAACGTTTTATTTTTGCATTTTTATCATTTATATGTAATAACGAAATATTTTCCACATTTGGAATAATTTTGTTACTAAGCTCAAATGACATATCTATATATGCGAAAAACAAACAAAAAAACCACCTAGAAAGCGTTAGCATACAAAAATACCTCGATATGAATTAATTCAAGTATTAAATCAGATATGGCAAGTAAATTGATTTTGAAAAATATTCGCTAACTTTTCGGCAATCGATTTGCAAACTTTTACTTTTAAGTTAATGAAGAAAATATCTAAATTACTTGCAAAAGTTTACACATCAGGCATGATTTCATGCATTTTGTATTCTTGTTTATTTTAACTTGGCAACGCTTCCCAGATGTGACGTCGCCGCTGCCGCCGCCAATGAATTTATGGTGGCCTGATATGTATGCCACAGGCACAGGCACAGCCTCATCCATTGCCAATAGCACAAAAGTGCGCCGAATTTTCATGTATCGCGAATTTGTAAACCAAATTTTTGGCTAATTCATTTAAATATTTGAACTAGAAAGTGTTTTTAACGAGTGACAAATACCAACAAGACAGCAATAAAAATGTTAAAAATATATCACGCAGAAAGAAATGTATTTTTTTTTGTTGCTTCTTTTTCTTGGCAATACACACGGCTATAAATATGAGGATAAATTTGTATTTATATATGTTTGTATGTATGTATGTTCAGTGAATACTAGTGCTTATAAAGGGTGATTTTTTTGAGGTTAGGATTTTCATGCATTAGTA